AAAAAAAATAAATAAAAAAAAATAAATAAAATAAAAAAAAATAAAAATAAAAATAAAAACATTCTGTAGCTTTTTCTATGACATGAAGTTTAATATACTTGGCCTCATTTTCCAAGTAATTTACAATCTTTTTAACCCCACTTTTCCCACCACTCATCAGCATTCACTGTCTCAAACAGGTAGACTCTCCATGTATCAGAACCACATTAAACTTATTTCTCTCTCTGCATCTAAAGTCTGGATGCCTCATTCTTTTCAGGTGTCTGGGTTCACCCAAGGCCCAGCTTCTGGTTTTATCTGCCATAACTGCTCCAGTCTTATTTTGATTTTTTTCTTCTTAGGCTGCTATTATAGCATGGTACAATACAATTTTTCCAAATTCACTAGACTCATGTATGTTGTTCCTTTTTTATTTGCATTACTTTTGTGTCTCCTGTTAAACTGAAATCTCCTTGAGAGCAGTGACCACCTTTTCTTTCCTTTTGTGTTTTTGCTTTTTTGACAGTTTTAGTACCAATAAGTCTTTGTTTATTCATTGTATTTTCCCAGGGAAAGGAGAAGGGAAGGGGAAAGAGTCAGCATGGGTTATGAATGATTAGAAAATGGGCAAGGAAGTAATGAGTACAGCAAAGTCAACCACCAAATAAACACACCCCAGCGATGGGGTCACCAAAGCCCAAAGAGGCTTTGTCTCCTGCAGTTCAGGAATGAGGGCAAGGGACTAGGAAAAGAACAGACAGGTACAGACTTTCCTACCCTCCCTCCCTCCTCATAAATTCAAGATTTCACATAAACCTTCAGTTTCTAGTGGTAAATATGAAGTTACATTTGTTCACCTCCTATTAAGCAATCTTGTGGCCACTTTGACATAAGTTTTTTACACCTGTATAAAAGTTCCTGAGTGACTTAGATATAAATTCAACATTTAGGCTAGGTGCAGTGGCTCACACCTCTAATCCCAGCACTTTGGGAGGCCGAGACGGGTGGATCACCTGAGGTCAGGAGTTCAAAACCAGCTTGGCCAACGGGGTGAAATCCCTTCTCTAATAAAAATACAAAAAATTAGCTGGGCATGGTTGTGGCCACCTGTAATCTCAGCTACTTGGGAGGCTGAGACAGGAGAATCGCTTGAACCCGGGAGGTAGAAGGCCCCCAGTTGCTTCTCTCTACTTTAGGATTAAAGATTAAATAGGTTTAGGCCAGGCACAATGGCTCACACCTGTAATCCCAGCACTTGGGGAGGCTGAGACAGGTAGATCTCCTGAAGTCAGGAGTTCAAGACCAGCCTGACTGACATGGAGAAACCTTGTCTCTACTAAAAAGAAAAAATTAGCCAAGCATGGTGGCAGGTGCCTGTAATCACACCTACTTGGGAGTCTGCAACAGGAGAATCACTTGAACCCAGGAAGCAGAGGTTGCAGTGAGCCAAGATCACTTTACTGCCTCCAGCCTGAGCAACAAAGCAAGACTCTGTCTCAAAAAAGAACATGGAGAAAGACCAGTACATTATATTTACACAAACTAGGCCACCTAGGAATCACCAACTCAGTGAAGGCCTACAAAGCCCAAATACAATAATTAGCAGGGTGCGGGGGGGAGCATTTTGGGGAAACAAGAACATAGGATCAGACACTATCCAAGTGTGTTTTATGTTTGAGAGACCAACCACATTTTCTAATCTTTGTATCTCTGAAATTATCTTCTTAGGTGCCTGATTAATAGGAGTTATTTTATCTCTAAGTAATTATAAGTAACTAAGTTTACTTAGTAGTTGCCCAATAAATAGGCACCTGCTAAATAGGGAGTTATTTAGTTACTTGTAAAATACTTAATTTTGGAGATCTTTCAAAAACAATACATCAAGTCAGATGACTTCTTAAGGCCCTTTAGTTAACTGTGAGTCTGTGGTTAGTAACTGAAAATTAGAATGGTAGAAGGCTTTGAAGTCCATGTCAAGTATCTAGTTTGATGTTTGTTTTAGAAAAGATAGAAACCTTTCATTTATATGGAATTTATTTATTATATGGAATAATTCATTCAGAAATAGCTGTTGAGCCAAACACTGATCAAATTCCTAGATATTTGGCAGTGCAGAATGTCCCTATGCTTACAACAGAGTTTACAATCTAGTAGGTAATTGCCTGGTGAGAGGAGTGAAATAATCTACTTCTTGGCAACATAGAGAACCAGGGGCAACCATTTTTGCCTTTGCTTCTTTTTAAGGTTTAAAACAATAAACTACCAAATGTGTATTGCTGCCTTTGACAAGGACCCAATCTATATTTTGTGGTATTTGTTCTTCTGTTGCAACTTCACTGCAGTAATTTTTTGGACAAGACTGATCATAATGTATGATTGTTGTGCTTACAGTTTATCACTGATTACTAAAGTGCATTTACTTTCAGCATGTGGATAATAGTAGTATGACATTACCTTCCTTAGAGTTGGGGAGATTTCTTAGGGTATTGTTACCCTCAAGATTATAAATAATATGAGTTTGTAATATTTAATAATAGCTAACATTTATTCAGCACTTTAGTGTATTAACTCATTCACAATGCTCAAAGCAACTAGTGAGCGAAATGCTATTATTATATTCACTTTACAGGTGAGGAAATTGAGGAATAGAATAGCTAACTAACTTGCTCCAAGTCACACAATAAATAGAACTCAGATTTGAACCCAGGTTTCAGCATCCTTAATTGCTATGTAATATGCATTCAAAATATAGGTCCTAAAAGTTACCATTGTTTTTAGAAAAAAAGAGTACTGTTATCAGTTCAGTTCTCATGAGAATTCTGTAAAGCTCGCAAATCATATGATAACCTTTGTACCTTATGGATGAGAAGACAGCCTTAGAGAAGTTATTCTATGTTTTGTCCTTGGTCACGCTTTAGTGGAATGATTCCTCATTCTTTATGTGAATTCAGTTTTTATTTTCCAGGGAAATGAAGCTGAAAAAAATATATAAAACAAATCAGAAAATAATCTTAAAACCTCAGTCTTAGTATTCAACCATTGACTTTACATACTGCTTCCCACACCTGTTGAGAACCACCTCTAGTGAAAATGCTGAGTAGCACCATCAGGATAGGAGGAGACAAAACACATTTTTAGAATTAAAAGGGCACAAGATTTTCTATATTGTCTCTTAGGGGAAAAATCGCAGGGACAAGATTAATTGCTAACTAGATGAATCTTGCTCTAGTTACTCCAGAGTCAACTTTGACATTTTCTTCTGTTTGCATTGGTACTTTAGCCTCTGTTAAACATGTATAATTCCTACCTACATATTTAAAAAGGAGTTTATTCTCCTAATGACTTCAGAAGTTACTTATTAAATCAGGGTAAAAAAACAAGTAATTTCTGATTGATTTTTTTTAATACAGAATTTTGAACAAAAACATTTCTAAATCCAAGGTTTTGTTTGTTTGTTTGTTTTGAGATGGAGTTTTGCTCTGTCACCCAGGCTGGAGTGCAGTGACATGATTACAGCTCACTGCAGTCTCAACTTCCCAGGCTCAAGCGATCCTCACACCTCAGCCTTCCCAAGGAGTTGGGACTGAAGGTGTGCATCACCACACCCAGCTAATTTTTTTATTTTTATTTTTTGTAGATATGGGGTCTTGCTGCACTGCCCAGGCTGGTCTCAAACTCCTGGGCTCAAGTCATTCTCCCACCTCAGCCTCCCAAAGTGCTGGGATTATAAGCATGAGCCACCTATCTGGCCTTAAATCCAAGATTTTTAAGTTATTTATTGAAAAGAATATGTTCATATTCCCTCCCAGTTTTCAGATAGGAGAAACCTATGTCCTACAATTTACTCTGAGGTCAGTTAAGCTTTTAATAGTCTTTAGAGTGAAAATAATATGTTAATATGATACTGAAATATTTTTAGATAAAAAAGAATACTGTCACCTACAAATTATATGTATTTTTATAAAGCTAGCTACTGCTAGATTATAATGTGGTATTAATGATGTCATAATTTATAATATATTTGTCATTATATATTCTATACTATCTAATATAGTAAATAGTAGTCATTTGCCACTTGTCACATGTGGCTTTTTAAATTTAAATTGCAATTGAAAGCAGTTAAAATTGTAAAAATTACTCAGTTGTATTAGCCATATTACAAATACTCAATAGCCACAGGTGACTGGTGACTACTGTAATGAATGGGGTAGGTTATAGAGCATTTTCATCATCATAGATAGTTCTGGCTGAGCGTCGTGGCTTACACCTGTAATCCCAGCGCTTTGGGAGACCAAAGCGGGTAGATTGCTTGAGTCCAGGAATTCATGGTAAAGCCCCAGCTCTGCAAAAAGCACAGAAATTATCTGGGAGTGGTGATGCCTGCTTGTGGTCCCAGCTACTCAGGAAGCTGAGGTAGGAGGATCAAACTGAGTCTGGGAAGGTTGAAACTGTAATGAGCTGTGATCATACCACTGCACTCTAGCCTGAGTGAGAGATCCTGTTTAAAAACAAAAACAGCTCTGTTAGACCAGCACTGCCTAAGTACTTGATTGTCTAGAATATAATTGTAAGATTAGGATCCAGGGTATGGTGTAAGTGGGCTCAGATTCTCAGATTACTGTATGTTCAGCTGGGGTTTAATAAGCATCCAACTGGTCAGACAGAAAGTAACTTTACTGTGTTGTTCTTTTATATAGTAATAGAACAGAGTATTCTCAAATCTTTTAAAATTATTGTGGCAATATCTTCACTTTTTGGTAGTAATTAATTTTATGTTTGGTTCTCCACTAAAAATGTACGTATATCTTAGTAACAAGTAAAAATAGATTTGATTGCTTTTGATATGTATGCTTAATAATATATGTTCTTTCTTGGTTATTTTCCTTACCTGCTGCAGGTAGAAGAGTCAGCAATGATGGGAGTAAGTGGCTATGTGGAATATCTCCGAGAGCAGGAAGTATCTGAGCGGTGGTTCCGGTACAACCCTCGTCTCACCTGCATCTACTGCGCCAAATCTTTCAACCAGAAGGGAAGCCTGGACCGCCACATGCGCCTACACATGGGGATCACACCATTCGTCTGCCGCATGTGTGGCAAGAAGTATACCCGGAAAGATCAGCTGGAGTATCATATCCGAAAGCACACAGGCAATAAGCCCTTTCACTGTCATGTTTGTGGCAAAAGTTTCCCCTTCCAGGCCATCTTGAATCAGCACTTTCGCAAAAACCACCCTGGCTGTATACCCCTGGAGGGGCCTCACAGCATCTCCCCTGAAACAACTGTCACATCTCGAGGACAAGCTGAGGAAGAGTCACCTTCACAGGAAGAGACAGTTGCTCCTGGGGAAGCTGCCCAGGGCTCTGTGTCCACCACTGGGCCAGATTGAAACATGGAGGGGGAGGGGGCTGATCCTCTTCCCCTTTGAGCCGTAAGCAGCCAGCATCAGGGCCGTGGGCTGTTACTTTAGATTTACAAAATACCATGTCACTAGGCCAGAAGGCACTCCCAAGATGTTGCCAAACTGGAGGATTAGCAACATACACAAAAGCACTAAAGGCTCTTCCCTTCTTATTTCCCGCTCATACTTTGGAAAATAATCAAGCAAATCAACTTTCTAATTCAGGGATCAACAGCCTTGGTTTGTTAACTTTATAAGAGAAAAAGCTTTTTTAACAAAACGATGATAAATGGTCATTTATCTACCAGTCATGTTTGAACACTGTATTTTGGTCCATATCATCTTTGTGGCTATCATTGCCCATATCTAAAAAATGCAGCAGGAGCCTCGACCATCGGAAGCAGCCATCCAGAAGAGAAGGAGGTAGTCATGATGGTGATGAAGACTGCCATAACATGCATTTTTGTGTTTCAAGAAAAAAACGAATGCTGGTGGTTCTTATTTTGAAAGGTTAGACTTTATCTTTGCCCTGACTAGGCATCTAATACTTTGCCTAGTTATTTCATATATTCAGCCATCTTGAAAGCAGTATTCTAGTGGACAGCATCACCTGAAGCACTTGGCAACTGGAAGTGAAATGAGCAGCAAAGCATATGCAATAGGTACTGCTACATTTGGGGACTTTATTGTTGTGTTGAGAAAGAGAAGAGCAGGGAGGGAAGTGTTTTTATGTTTTGCAAATATCAAACAGCACAGAGCCGTACTGCTAATTCCTGACTGGTATTTGTAAACCATAGTGCTACACATCCTTGAGTAATGGCTCTAGTTCAGGTGAAGTAATGTGTTAGGCTGACTACCAAAGTTTCATCCAGTCTCTTTGGCTCCTATTTTCACATTCAGCAATATTGTACATCAAAAATGTCACTTTCCAGTGAAATGAGCCTGGATTGTATTTTTAAATCTACAGGTCTCCATTATTTGATATCTTTTATATGAAGTTTTAAACATGTTTTTTCTGCAGTATTGTGGTTGAAGAAATTCAACACTATGGTTCTTATTACAACCACAATTTCATTTCCTTATACATATGTAATAGTTTATATTTTCAGGCATATAGAAGAACCTCACTTAAACCTATGTCTCGGGTCTGCAAACCTAGTAATTCATAAACCAACCATCAGCAAATAGCTGGTGACTCTAAGAGCTTTGCTTTTTAATAATATACTACAGGGCACTTATCAGAAAACATCATGCAGAATCATGTTGCAATAAATGATCAATGGATCAGTTTTGATCAGGTTTAGTTACTTAGTCATTCCTAAGATTTTTAAAACTTCAAGGGACCTTTTTAGTAATTCTGGGTATTTCTAAGATTCTTAATCCAGCACTGAAAGAACTTACCGAACATGTAGAACTTTACATACCTTGTCTTGCATGCAGTAAGAGAAGGAGGAATATTAAGGGATGCAGGCAAATAGATGCTTACAACTTACAGTGCAAGTTGAAAAACCTCTAGCTTCTCTTGACGGAGCACTAACTGTTGGGATTCTTTTAAGTATTTAAGTATGTAATGGTTTAAGAAATTGTTTCAATGCAGAGGCATAGATGATTGTAAAAGAGCTTTGGGAGAGGGGCAGGTCGTACCTGCACTAGTGAACCATTTGTGAGAATGTTAGTCATGTGCTCTTTTCCTGAGATTGCTTTGTGGTATGTGAAAAGGTGTGGTATGTGAAAAGAATGAAATTTCTTTGTGATAAGAAATTAGAATGCAAAAGATAGATCTTAAGCAATCTGAGAATTGTACATGTACATAAAGCTGCACCCTCTCTCAAGAGAAAGGTTATTTTCTCTTCTGAAAAAGCATAGAAATGCATCTTTTATGGGAAGATAATGATGCTACCATTTAATAAGAGCCTACCCTTAAAGGCAGCATTGAAACTGTATTTCGTCTTTAGAAGACATTGGTGCATCCTCCTCTTTAGTTGGGCAACAGCATGATAGGGTAAAATCTGTCTTCTAAAGCCGTCTTTAGGGACTGGCTATGCTCTGTGGCATAGAAAAGGTAAAATTGAATTAGACTAAAATCCTTAGGGAAACAACTGGTAATAAGGTTTTCAGTGGACAGAGTTTGCCATTACTAAATAGGCAGTGAGGTAAGAAGTACAGATTATGCTGCTTTGGATGGAGCTTTTAAGCTTACCAAAAAAAACTTCAAGTCCATCCTACTTTTGAGAAATAGTATGCTAGAAAGTTCTTTTTTTCTTTTTTGTATTTTTTTGACAGTGTCTCACTTTTAATCTCCCAAACCGGAGTGCAGTGGTGCAATCATAGCTCACTGTAATCTTGAACTCCTGGGCTCAAGCGATTCACCTGCCTCAGCCCCCAGGTAGCTAGGACTATAGGCATGCACCACCATGTCCAGGCTAATTTTTAAATTTTTTTATAGAGACAAGTGTCTCTACAAAATTTGCCTAGGCTGGTCTTGAACTCCTGGCCTCAAGTAATCCTCCCAAAGTGCTAGGATTACAGGCATGAGCCAGTGAACTTGGCCTGGAAAGTTCTTTGTTGCTTTGTTAGTTTCTTAGATTATATGTGAGAAATGGAGCTTTTTAAACTATTACCAAATTTTAAAGGTGAAGTGCAGTAATTTATGTAAAGAGAAACTTTGCAACATTTGTCAATTATCCATCAAGGGTTAGCAACAAACAAATGAGGTAGGGACTGTCTCATTCATGTGGAAATGCTATGAATGTTTGGTGGGTTTCCCCTCCCTTTTCATTCACTTTAAATGGCTTTTTCCTATATTGATACTGTGAATAGGGTGCTTCCTGGTCATCTAGGACCACATCAGCACAATCATGTTTGCTGGTTCTCTCCTAATTAGCCTAGCCAGAGCCATGAAATTCATGAAATTTAAGGCAGCCTAGGTTTTAAACAAATTAAAACTTCTGAAGACAATTTCCCCATTTTAGTTAGAAGAGATATCATTATTCTAAATAACTGTCCAAGATTCTTACCCAGGTTCACTGTGACATTGTCCTAGTTCTTAGCTAGCAACACTGATGGATCAGTCATAGGAGTTACTGATGTTCTGTCTACATTAATGAACACCTATATTGGTGTGTATACAGAGGATACCTCTTTAGGATGTTCTAAATGGACTTTGGCTGATGCTGAAAATTCATTACCAAATCTTAACTTGCACGTGTTACCTTGTGAAGGGAACTACATTAGCAATGAGAGCTAAATCATCCATAAGTACTTTAATGCCATGAAACTGCAAACACTGGGACTGTTTTCATTTATTGAGTGGCACTTAAGTAGCAAAGGAACTATCCAGTATTCTCAGCAAAGAAGAGAGATAGAAGTATATTAATCTGTTTTCATTATAAGACGTACCTTTATTCTCTCTAAACTCTAATACCAGTATAAAATATAGCATTGGCATGAACAGTTAATGCTGTACTTAGGCAGAAAGGCTCTTTCTAATGACTTGTTCTCTCTTTACTCAGAACCGTATTTACCTCTGAACCAAGTTGAATTTTATTTTATTCAAGTTGCAAACAACTCCATGCCATGTTTATTATACTAGAAGGTTAAATCCAATCTCAACTACATAAAAGTAAATTAGTTCCTAAAGGAAAATTTTTATTTTTGTCGTTTTTATAAATGTTTCCAGTTCTCTCTATATCAGTGAAACAGGATTTTTCAAAGATGGTATGAAGGTAGGAAAAACTTTTTCCTCACAGCTTAATAGTTGACATCTGGCATTGGTTGGAATTGGTCTGGTGGCAGGGTGAAATAGAGAACTTCATTTTTTTTCCCCTCTTTAAAGACAAGGTCTCACTGTGTTGCCCAGGCTGGTCTCAAATTCCTGGGCTCAGGTGGTCCTCCTGCCTCAGCCTCCCGAGGGACTATAGGCAGATGACTACACCTGGGTGTAAATGTCATTCTTAATAGCTGAATAATCTTTGGTCAAGAAATAACTTTTCTAGAGTTTTAGCTGTTACTTGAAATTAACTGTGTTTTTTTGTTTTTGTTTTTGTTTTTTTTTGAGATGGAGTCTCACTCTACCACCCAGGCTGGAGTGCAGTGGCATGATCTCAATCTTGGCTCACTGCAACCTCCGCCCTTCTGGGTTCAAGCAGTTCTCCTGCCTCAGCCTCTCAAATAGCTGGGATTGCATGTGCTTGCCACTGTGTCCGGCTAATTTTTGCATTTTTAATAGAGACGGGGTTTCACCATCTTGGCCAGGCTGGTCTTGAACTCCTGACCCCATGATCCACTCACCTTGGCCTCCCAAAGTGCTGAGTGTACTTAGGCAGAAAGGCTCTTTCTAATGACTTGTTCTCTCTTTACTCAGAACCGTACTTACCTCTGAACCAAGTTGAATTTTATTTTATTCAAGTTGCAAACAACTCCATGCCATGTTTATTATACTAGAAGGTTAAATCCAATCTCAACTACATAAAAGTAAATTAGTTCCTAAAGGAAAATTTACAGGTGTGAGCCACCACGCCCAGCCAGTTGTGTTTCTTTTTGACTGGTGAAAACTAGATATATTTGTTTGACTAGATGATCTAACGTAAATGAAAGCAATAGATAATGGAAAGGAAATTGAACAAAGACAAAAGTCTTCTTCATCATGGTGGAAAGGCATTTAATCAGGAAGAAGGTAGAATCCTGGAAGTTTTTTTTTTTTTTTTTCAGGTACAGCAGGCAGGGATTTTTCTCTTCCTCAAATGTTCTTCCCCTTATCTGTGTACTTATTTGTTCAAGGAATAACAAATGAGTCTTTATTGAACTCAGTCTTTGGAAATTGAGCTCTTTATTTAGGCTATATGTGAAAGAGTTTAAAATATTGAAATATTTTGGTTGCTAAGCATGTTTAGAAAAGAAGCAATTGTCAGGCAAATCCCTAAGTCTGAGAAGATACCCTCAGCAAAATATACCCCTAGGACTTACAGAATTAGATCAGGGGTCAGCAAACAATAGTTTCTAGGCCAAATGCTGAGGCTACTTGCTTGTGTTAAGAAAATTTTAATGGAATAGGGCCACACTTACTCATTTAGGTATTGTTTATGGCTTCTTTCTAATGGCAAAGCTGAGTACTTGTGACAAAGATCCCATGACCTGCAAAGCTGGAAAATACTTGCTGTCTGGTACTTGTGAGAAAAAATTTGCCAACTCCCAAGAAACAATTACCTCCTAAATTTGTCACTCCTGACGTTCTGCCTTTTTAATCATTTGGTTGAGGTTTTAAATTCATGTTGTCACGTATGCATGTTTCTTGAAAAAGTTTGCCAACTTTTTCTAGATCCTCTTCTCATAACTCTTTTTGTGCTCCTTCATAGTTCCTATTGCTTAAAAGCATTTAGAATTGGACTTATGGTTTGTTCTTGCCTTAATGGTGCAGGTATTTTAAAGTTGAGTTATAAGTAAGTTTTGCCATTCCTTTGAGTTAACTAGAACTGGTTTGCATAATGGTGGCAAGAATGAATTTTTCCCCAAATGGATTAAAAATTAATTTCTTTTTTTTTTTTTTTTTTTTGAGACGGAGTTTGGCTGTTGTTACCCAGGCTGGAGTGCAATGGCGCGATCTCGGCTCACCGCAACCTCCGCCTCCTGGGTTCAGGCAATTCTCCTGTCTCAGCCTCCTGAGTAGCTGGGATTACAGGCACGTGCCACCATGCCCAGCTAATGTTTTCTATTTTTAGTAGAGACGGGGTTTCACCATGTTGACCAGGATGGTCTCGATCTCTTGACCTCGTGATCCACCCGCCTTGGCCTCCCAAAGTGCTAGGATTACAGGCTTGAGCCACCGCGCCCGGCAAAAATTAAGTTCATTAAGAATAAGTATTTTGATTCGTATCCAAAGTACTGTTTTTCTAAATTAGAACCCCCTACCTTTTCCCTTTACGATGTATCTTAATTTTAACTTCTTTAAATTTACTCTCTCCTATGTAGAATAGTAAAAAGCCAAGTTTTTCTCCCTTTTTGCCTGGATGTTTTAAAACATAATGAAACATCTGAAGATTTCAAATTATTTTTAGACCTATCTTCCCATTTATGTTACTGTCTATAATTCTTCTGAATATGTATTGGAACATTACATATTTGATTTATGAATGTTCATTCTTAGTGTTCAGATAGCCTACTTATACTCGATGTGGGAAAAATGGGAACTGTTAGGGTGTTGATAAACAGAAATCCTTGCAGGAAGCTGAGTGAGATGGCAGATACCTGTAATCCCAGCTACTCGGGAGACTGAGTTGAGAGGACCACTTGAGGCCAGGATTTTGAGCACCAGCCTGGGCAACATAGACCTCATCTCTAAAACGAAAAAACAAATCATTGCAATATGAGAGAATAATTGCTTCCCATTTGGAAATGATCTATGGGCTTTTGAATTAAATCTATCTCAACAAAGTTTTCTAGGCCATGCTGATACAGTATAGAGAGTTTGATTCTCTGTTGTGAGCACTATCAACATAGACAAAGTTCAGGTGAGTGGCTTTCTATAGGAAATCTCTTCACTAGGTATTTTAAAGTTGTCTTCTTCTAATTGGATATTAGTTTTATATTATATATCCTCTGAGTAATAGGTAATCCTCATCTATAAGGTTCTAGAATATTTGCCTAGGGTAGACCTGCCTTGGCTTAGAGCATTTATAC